TAATTTTCTTTTTTATTTATCATCCTTTAATAAGAACAAATACATAGTTAGAATTTGTATCTTTACAGGAGATTTAAAATATAGAGATTACTGGAATTTAAAGGAACTTTGAAAGAGAAGGAAAGACAGAATTCACCTCATAACTAGACTAGGTGTGATTGCAAAGTGCCCTGTCCTCCTCAAATAACATTCACTAAGCTCATGGATTCCAGAAATTCAACGGGGGAGTTCAATTGGCTTAAGACTTTTTAAGATACAGATGTCATCAGTGCTGTATACCTTCAGATAATTACAGGTAATGGATTAAATCACCTCTTCATGTGAATTAACTTACCAAGTCACTTCCTAAGAGCAGACTTGAAGAAACACCAGGACATCCAGCTTCTGCAGGAATTGGAGTACAGAGGTTAGCATCAAAAGAAGGATAAAAAGGACTATAAAAAGGGAAGCCTGAGGACCTGAAAGATAAACTTTGCTCACCTCACAATTTGGCCTGTGAAGTGTGCCAGCAAAGTCAGTCCAGCACTTTTAAAAGTTTAAAAGTGATGATCCTGTCATTTCTAAATTAAATTAGGAATTCCAGAAAAAGCTCTGCTAATGAAAGAAAGTGATATTTTTACTTTTTCCTACATGTGTTAAAAATTGAAAGGAAAAAGGAATAAGAAAGAAAATTCTGGTTATCCAAATTTTTCTTTGATAAATGGCCTAAAATTAATTTTGTCAAGTATTTACCAGATATTCAAGTTGTTATATGACTAATGCAGATATTTACCAACATAAGAAATTATGATTTATGGCATAACTATTCCTTTATTGATATTTTGCAAGACTTTTTCTTTCATGCCATATTGGAGGCAGATCTCCATTTCTATAAATGTCACAGGCCCTTGTTTCATAACTATTCCTTCTATAAGCCATTCCAGTCATTTTAAGTCAGAATTCCCATGTGATCAAACTGACATCTGGAATTTCTATAAGATTAGCTAAATTTGCTTTTGAATATATCTTTGAGGAACAAATTCATGTATACAAATATTCGATATGTATGTGCAGCATTACTAGAAATACCAAGTATATCATCTTGAGAAAAATCTTAACACCACAAAACCTAGAAATTATCCTAGAAAGTTTTGCTTACTTTATCATTAAAACTTTATTTTGGTTTGTCTTCTAGATTGAGGTGGAGGAGATCATACTCTGTTGTTTAGTGTGAGAAAACGTGACAGGAGCCTTTTATATCTCCTTCTATAGATTCTTTATAGATTAAAAGAAAGGCTTCAGCTTTCCTTGAGACAAGATAAAGAGAAAAACCAGGAGATCCACCTATCGCCCGTCACATTACAGCCAGCACAGTCTGAGGCAAAGACGGTCCACAGCATGGTCCAACCCGAGCAGGCCCCGAAGGTGCTGAATGTTGTCGTGGACCCCCAAGGCCGATGCACTCCTGAGATCAAAGCTACCACCTCGACCTCAGTCTGCCCTTCTCCTTTCAAAATGAAGCCCATAGGACTTCAAGAGAGGTAAGAACTTACTGTGTATTCCTCTACATGTGGCTTCTTAAAAAGAGTATTCGTCAATGTAAAAAGAAAGAAGTGATTGATATGTTTAGGTAGAATCGTTCACCACCAAATGGACACCAGAATGAGGTCATATTTTTTTGTCTCCCAAAAGAACCCAGCTGTGTTAGAGAGAATCTTTATGTATATCTGATTCTGTTAAACTTGTGTAGACCCAAGCAAAATCCATCTTCAACTA